CTGTGAACCACTCCATGAATGCTGCTTGGTGTGAGCTAGTTGTGCATCTCTCCTGGATGAAAACTCCCTTCTCTGACGGTCCTGTACAGGGTTCCTCAGGCTGCCCATCTCAAATCACAGCAGCTACTTAATCTGGGAATCTTCTTAAACTGATTTCTGTGCAGGCCTTGCTTTCAGCAGAGGCCAATCTTGGCAAATATCTTCTGCAGAGTATCTCCAAGATCTGGCCTTCCTGCTTCAGAGATCATTTTTCTTGCTTTTCATGTCTTTATCCCAACGTCCTTCCCATCTGGATTTGCATAATGAAGTATTTCCCTGTTTACAGMTGCCTGAAGCACTGCTGCAAACACTTTGCTCCTTTTGACCATGTTGCACTCTTTTGTACCCTCATGCTAGCTCAATCTTCCATATTAAATGTAATTTTTAAAATTTGAAAGTCTTTTAAAATATCTCTACATTAGATTATACAATCCCAAGCTTTGCCCAGCTCTGCACTGTGAATAGAGATGATTGTACATCCTTTGCAGCAAGAACAGGATATTTCATCTTTGCTCTGTGCTCATGCACAGTCTCCCATGCCTGCAGCCCCTGTCTTCAAGCAGTGCTCCTAGGCACTGCAGTGAAGCAGAGCCTAAGGAAGGGGTGAGGTCCTGAGGGCTGCTGTCAGTTTTAAGCAGCAGCTACAAATTAGACTTCTGCAACTGCCRGGAAGTCTTCTTCAGTCTTTTGCTGCTAAAGCAAACTTCTAATAGAAGCTAGACAAGTAGACTTCTATGGACTGGTTGCTCAGGCACTATTAGTGCTCTGATCAAACTTTGGCTATCTGCTTTAAGGTAGAACTTGATGTTTTCCAGCCCAATCTCTTTCCAAGACCTGCTTGCAAACCTGAACCCTAGATCTGCTTAGCAGGAAGTGTTTACTTAAGTTCTCACTCTGTGTTTGCATGTGCTCAGCTATATTTTTGAGTTCCGACTCTGCAAAGAAGGTGAAAAAAAGCATGAATATTGGAACTTATAGATTTCAGTTCCTGCAGGGCATAGCCAGGTTGGTTTTGATGGTTTTGGAGTGGATGGGAAGAACTTTCTAGAAAATGGAAGGAGCTGGGCAGAATTTACAGCAGCTCCTGAGATCATAGGGGTTGTTGAACTCTATAGTTGAGATCTCTCCTTCAGGGTCCCTGTGGGAAGTGGGTTATAAAAATGTCTTATTGCTGTATTTTCTTCTTACTCAATTTTCTGTATATAAGCAGTTAAAAAATTTTAGCTGATATTCTGTTTTTGCCTTTTAGAATTGAAGTCTTTCAGTCTTTTTTAATCTCCAGATTCTTTGCAAAGTACAGGCTTCTGATGGTCCGTGTCTTCATAAACATTCATAAAATGTAGAGGTTAGTGAGGCTGTTCTGGTCTGCATGTAAGAGTTAAATTTTAGAGGAAATAATCCTTACGACTCCTATCTAGCACTATGTAAGAACTGTCGTTGAAATGAAAGCTGCATTGCAAGTTGCTTTAGCCCTCACTTCCAAAGCAAACAAATTTTGAAATATTTCCTCTTTGAAACCCATATATAACAACAAAGGGAGACATTGCTGTTTTTCTTTCATATCTACCATTTCAAAATCGACCCAGTCTATCAAGCTGGCAATCAGCACCCTGAGTTAAATTGAAGCTTTTGAMAGAAGATAATCTATAGGTGGCAGACACAGAGTTAGGAGCTGTGATGTACTATCAGTCAGCTGTTCTATTGCTGAGGAAGAAGTCTATTCAGATTGCAGGGATGATAGTGATGGACAAATGAGCCTGCCATTCAAATGCAGGGCATTCAGAGATGAATCTGCATCCACTGAGATGGGTGTAAGTGSAGATGATTAATACAGCAATTATATAAGGTTCATTTGTAGCAGATAYGCTCTATTACCTTTTAACTGTAGCCATAGTACTCTTATCTGTATGGTACTTCTGGTTTTATCAGATTAAAACTTCATTAATCCCAGACACTCATGAATATTGGATAGAATTATGTGCTTGCAGATCAAGTGGGGAGGAGGAGGTGAAAGAAAGTCATTGAACTGGATGCTTCGATGCTTTCCTTCTAATGTAAGTTTACTTTTTCCAATGCAAAATTGATCCTTAAGAAAAATTTCTGGTTATGCTTCTCGCCTGTTAGCCCAGGACTATTCATTACTGTATTGATTTACTATCTAAATTGTTGTGCTAGTGGAAGGTATTTTCCAAAGTCTATTAAACAAGGAGGTGCGGGGAGTGTGTCCCTTACCTCTCCTTACCCGTTGTTCTGCTGCATGGATGCCCAAATCTCTGGCTGCTTCGGTTGGTCATTTGTTATTCTGGCAGGTCCTTCATATGCAATTTATTCAGCTTTCCACCATTTTGGCTCCCAAAATGACTTTGTCCTTTGTGTGCAGCTGTGAAGACCTGCAGGAACCTGAGGCTGTGTTTGTTTATTCCCTTTGAGATGCCTGAGGCATTAGCGGGTTTAAGGTTTTTAATTATTTTCTCAATCTATGTCAGATGGGACTGAYATGTTTTTACTTTGTGTGTGAGACTCTAGAATGTGAAGCATCCACTAAGGAGGAAGTGGGAGCACTGCAATAGAATCGGTCCTGGACTAACTCAAATGTTCTTAAGTGCTGTGGACCTCTAATCTCAAGGCAGGTGCACTGATTTTAATGTAACTTTAAAAGTCATGTTTTACCTGTGGTGTTTTTGCATATATAACTTGCTAATTGTGCGGACTTAACTGGACACAGCATTTAGCACTGAAACAACTGAGCAACCGAGGAAAAAGAAATAGTTTTGAAGAAGGGTATAGACAGCTACAGGAATCAAATGACTACTGGAGCATGAGTGGGGATGTCCCCCGAAATGTAGAAGTCATAGACACATAGTGAAAGCCCAGCAAAAATCCTGACAAGAAGATGCTTCTATTTCCATTAGTCATGTTTAATTGTAATTCATTAAGTAAATTGAGTAAATCTCTGAAAATTAGAGAATAAACTTCTAGTGCTTCATGGTAAACGTTTCTACCTGGAAAGATTTTTGCAGGAAGCACAGCTAAAGCAACAGGAGCATGAAAATATATGGGAACTTTCATTTTTATTTATAGAATGCTTATACCTAAGATGATTTTTTGTAGGCTAAATGATATTTCTATTTTTTTTCTTCCTCTTAATATSAGGCAGTGCTGACAATCAATTCCACAGGAAAATATTGGAGGTCTTGAAGAGGAATATCAATATGTAAAAGTTAACAGAGTCAGAAAGAAGATTGCTTCTGGGCTTGTGATTGTTTCATTGTTGTAATGGTCATTTACAGCATATTCGTAGCTGTGAATTCTTGTTTTGTTTGAGAGGTACAAGGATCTGATTTGTTAAAACGTTTGTATTGCACTTAAGGCTGTGGAGGCTACTAAAGATCAGTTTTCTGAAGTCTTGTAGTATTCAACTCTGGAAGCCAGTTTTAGGCTGTATTGAACCACATTTTCATGCAGATTAAAGATGCAAGGGAACGATTAAGTGTATCGCTTTCCCTTCTGCTTGCACAGCAATGCAATAGTTCATTGAGGAGAAGCGAATGGAGGATGTCATTTGTGTAGTGTCCCCTTTGTGTTTCTCAGGCCTTCCRGAATCTGTTCTATGAGTTAAGAAGTTTGGCTCTGTTTGGGAGAGCACAACCTCAGGGAGCGATTCTTTTCAAATTCACCAGGTTTTTCAAGACACAGAAAAACTCACTCTTAATTAACAATATCATGCTGGGAAATTCCTTGCTAGATATGCTGACCCATGCTGAAGGTGGGGATAATGTCATACGACATATTGGTCTGTCCAGAGAGAAATAAGCAAAGTTCTAACTTTGGGTTGAAAATAGTATTTCAGCTCAAAAAAGGAAATAATTTCAGATATCTTGGCAATTGTGGGTTTTGTTGCCCTTATAAATGAACAGTGTCCCAGGTGACCTTGTAGAGCTGTCGTCAAAGGGCAAGTTAAGCTTACATGACAAAGATGTCCTTGAAAGGCTTTAACCTTTCAAAGCAAAAGAACGTTCTYGTTTCAGTAACGAAGTCTGAGAGGGATCGATCACATAAGACTTTGTGCTCTCAGGAAATGCAGTTGTCTCCAACATTCTTCCTCTTTCAAGTGTTGGGGATAAGCGGTAATAGAGTGAATTACCAGCTTCTAATTCTTGTGACAAAGTCTGTACCTCAAAACAATTTAATTCTCATGTACGTTTTCAGGAGGTGTTGCATCATCCTTTTGTTGTGCTAATGAAGTGGTGCTGAGCAGTGATTGTAAACAATGTTCTTGTCTTCACGCCAGCACAGTGTTAAATGCATCATTGAATCCTTGGCATTTTTTATGTAGGTACAGTATAATAGGATGGATGTTTGTGTCTAGAAATCTAAATAGGAAGAATAATTAGAAGAAGGCAGAAAAAATAAAAGGAGGTAAAAATGACAGCAAGCTTGCAAGGGAGCTACAAGYTTTTGTCCTGTGGGTTGCAGAGGAGTCAATGTTAGTCTCCTGGAAGTTGGCTATATTTTTTGRTAGAAACTACACAGAATTGGTGACTATACTTGTACTTGAATTGTATTGGATAAATACATTCAAGTACATATGGAGAGATCACAGAATATTCGAGGTTGGAAGGGACCAACTGGAAGGGAGCCATTATTGGGTATCAACCAATTGATATCCAATACTTCAATAGAAGTGACCTAATAGGTCATACTGTTTAATCTAAGCGAAAACACCCCTGCTGAAAATCCAGCAGCTACCCCTAAATTGGGTGGATACAGCGTTAGCAAACTAGTAGTGTAACTATTCTTTCGTGAGATTAAAAGCAGAAGGCAAGAGGCAAGGCCAGAAGGATGCTCCAAATGGCTAGTAGAATTTATAACTTGCTCCCTCTGCTTTCTGTGTTGCTAATTTGTTTTAAGATGTTTTCCTGAGCCTGTCATCTAGATTTAGCATGCAATTTGCCTTTCAGACCAAGAGGAATTTTCCGCTGCTGCCAGAGCAGTGGGAGAGCAGATGGCTGGAAGTTGGGAAGGCAGCTCCAGAGTGCAGCAGTGAGCAGCACGCGACAGCATCCCCAGAGCCAGGAGACTGCCTGYGAGGGGAAGGCATGCTTGGTTGCTGGTTCACCAGTGCTTAARTAATAGCTGGAATTGCTTTGGAGAGCAGCAATGGTATTAAGACAAAGGTAAGCATAGCTGCTTAGTGTTAATCTCAAAATCTCATTCTGGAARAAATCGTCACTGGTAATGCTGAGAGAATCATGTTAGAGCTCAATAAACAAGCTCAAAAATGAAGTGCTCTTCTGAAAGTACCTCCTTGTCTTTGTGGATGGAAAGATCTTCATTTAGGTTTCACCCAAATGATGCTTAAACCGAACTACATGAAGCTACTTTACTGTTATTCTGAGTTAAYGCTCACATTCCTTGTGTGCCCAGAGTATTGCAGCAAGTGACTAGAGTTTTAGGAAGTTCTTCAGAGCTGACAGGCAGGGATTTATTGGCAAGTAGCTTTTATAGCCCCTCAATGTCTTCTATATTTTTCCTGCAGCAACTGACAGGACACTTTGGCAGTGTTGCATCCTCCTGCTTCTCATCCATGCCCAGGACATACTTCCTCCCCTCAAGGCTAAGCTGCCTATGTGTCAGTTCAGGTGCCAAAGGAAAAAAAGTGAATTTGGGAAGAAAGTGAAAGTGGGCAAAATATTTGCATTGGGTAGAAGAAAAACTTTGAGGGATTTTTCTTTGCAGTTAGGTAAAATGCTGCTTCCTTCTTCCCCAGAATTTAATTTGGAGACAAGCTGAATGAAATCATTCTATTCTACTTWGGGGTTACTGAAGAATTTTGACCTTCCTTTTTGTGTCTTTTATATTGATTCAAATAAAACCTAAAAATGCTTTAAATATGAGGATTGTGTAATAAAGTATTTCTAACAGTGGAGATGGAGATCCTTCCTTTTAGAAGCAGACATGATGTGTTTCAGCACTCTTGCTTTTAGTTTCCCTTGTTAGCTGAGACTTTTTTTCCTGATTTAAACCTGTATTCACAAATAACTACTCTGYTCTGTCCAAATTGACTATTTCAAAGCAGAACTTGTGCTACACGGTTTATGCAGCTTGGAAGCAACTATGTAAGGTGGGAAGAAAACTGTCCTTAGGAGGCTTAAGTGATGCTCTAATGCTGAATGCAACTGATTCAGCAGGTAATTGCTGAAGATAAGTGTGTATCCAAGAAGCAAGCTAGTCAAAGTCTGCTGTAGACCTAGATTCATGTTACTAAACAAATGGGAGGTGGAGACGGCTTGAATCTTGTTGTGGGTAAACTACAAATGTGCTAAAGGGAAACTCGAATAATGCAATTGCTCGTGAGGAGCTTTGGCCTCTAAATGCAGGTCTGAATACACAGGTTGCAATTCCAAAGGTAGTGCTAAATGCTTATTGTGGCAGGATCTATGCAGAGGGTTTTCATGTTGTCTCCAGGTAGTTGCAGAGAGATGATTATCTGACTTTGTGTCTAGCAATGATGCTTCATGATAAATATTTGCATCTCATTAGTTTCAGGTAGATGGATGTGTACAGTAGAATTAACAGGAAGATGCACCTTTTTCCACGAGACTGCTGCTCTGAAATCTCTGCTGGTTACATCTTCTGGTTCCTCAGAATAAAATAGCAACTGTGGCTCCTGTCCCTGAGCATGAACTTCATTGCAAGAATGACCGATTGACTGGCAGACYCTTCCCTCCTGTCTTAACAACAGCAGGCGATTGCAGTGAGTGCTTCCTTTGCAGTCCTCTGCAAGACAGCTTAAATAGGTAAGGAAAATTAAACAATATTCATATTTTTTCCTCAGTGATTCTTTTAAGTGATTGTATTCAGTGCGTTTACCTGGAAAGATGACCACATATTCAGACYACTATAAGAAACACTTGAGATAGAGATTACTATAGCATCTCCTGTGTTCTGCCCCACCTTTCTTGGCTTGGATGAACTCTGTTAAAGTGACAATTTAGTGCTGTATATCCTTCCTCTTTCCTTCATGAGGCATTTCACCTTAAGCACTGCAGAAATATTAACTGAGAGAAGAGATTCATAGTCTATTAATTTCTTCCTCCGTGGTAGGCTGCCATCACTAATGAGTAGCACAAGCAGATCATGCAGAGCTAGCTGTAGTTACCAGCACTTTCTGTGATTAAAAACTAGTGTCAGATGCTTTCAAGAGCTGATAACTTTGATAACTTTCAAGTCTTTAGGAAATTAGCCACACAGAATTAAAGAGTTGTGATTTTTTTTAACTCTACCATATATTTCAGTCTGGGCAATATAAATTTTGAAGGCTATATAGGGATTAAAACTGGACATGTCTTAGTTCAGACWGTCAAAACTAGGAATGCAAGATCTTAGTATTCTTCAATATTCTATATTCTCATCTTGGTCTATCTTTGTACCAACAGCTGCCTTGTCATCCATCCTAAATGCATATTTTTGCATGAATCTTGTATGTGTACATGCACTTCCATTACCTGAGCTTCTTGCTTTTGTTCCACTAAGGAATGGGAAACACAAGTAAGTTACAYTTTTCACGTCTGCTACCATGGGTAGCAAGATTCTTCTTGATAGGTATGAAAGCTCTGCCTCACTTCTGCGTATTGAATTCAATGTGAAGTCGTGGTATGAAGTTAGATACAATCCCACCTTCCTTTCTGGATGCAAGGTGAGTTCATCTCAGGCCACCCTTATTCCACAGTCTGCAGAGCACTGGGGCTATCCTAAAAGGTTTTAATGTTTTACAGGGTTTCCTAGTAATCCTTTCTCTTCTTTCTTGATAATGCTACAACATTTTCTCTATTTTTTTTTCTTTATTCAGCAACAACGTGCAGAGCTGCAAGATCTGGCCTTTAGGGTGCTACTGAAGGCTCTAGCTATGTAGCTCAGTAATGAAGCTTTATGTTGTATAATGACCTGTACTTTTGAAAGAAAAAACACTCAATTCAGCTATAATAATTCAGAGGAAACATTTTTTTGTTTCTTTTATAATAAATGAAACTGTTCCCTTTGTATTCACATTTTTGCTCTTAAAACAAGAATAATAACTTCAGCAGCAACAAAGCATGTCACTTTACTGTGTTCTAAGGGGAATAAAAAGTTGTGAGCATTAAATGAAAGCTGTTTGGGCCAATCTCTCTACTGGAATAAGCTCCTAGGCTGAAAGAAAATATGAATAAATTATGACTTGAATTACAACTTTCTTTTAGGCTATAACATGATTAAAAAAAAAAAAGCCCAGTCTTCTCAAACCAATATTTTTTCTAATAAAAGGCAATAATTCATGTTGTGAAATAATATATTACTGTATGTAGCAGAAATCAGTTTGGCTAAGATATGGCTTCTTTACTGTAAATTTATATTTCTTTSTATTCCAATGTTGTTTAGCTATGTTGTTTAACAATTTACCCGTTTGTTAAACTTACCTGATATACCTAATTCAGCTGACGAGTTCTAAAAAAGTTCAGTTAAAGAAATGTATTATGAAAACTGCATCAGACAGCTTTATATATCCCTCGTCTGGGATTTAGCCATSTAAGTACAGTAAGCCTCATACTGTTGTTTGCCTATATATAAAAAAAATTAAACTCACCTTATACAGTTAGAGGAGGCACATGGTCAGGTTCATTTTAAATGTGTTTTAAGCAAATTCATTTTTAAAATTTTCCTTGCACCCATAAAATTAATGGGAGTTAACATGTAGTAAACCAAACAGATGAACACCTTAATATTCTATGTTAGTTGTTCTGGACCTATACTGAGAGCAAAATAGCTATGTTTCTTCAGCGTGCAGAGAAGTGTAAATATAATCTAATAATAAGATCTGCTCTTCAGATACCATAAAACAGAAGCGAAAAAAGCCAGGTCTATGTAGAAAGTCCTCTGTGAAGGAAAGTGATGGTTTAACAGTATATTATTCATGCAACATTTACATTTATATTCATATTTGAAAGGCTTTCTCTAGCCTTTAAAAATAGGGATAAATAGGTTATTCATATTAGCAAATAATATCTAGGTATAGCAAAGGATAAGGCAGTAGAGCTGACGTATGTGATGATCAGATGGAGATCAGCCTGCTATGTCTTCAAGCAGGAATCCAGGGGGAATGARAGAAACCATCTGCATCCAAACCATTTTAATGTGACTCTGCACACCATAAATTTACTCCAAGCTTTACTTTGATCCTGTGGGCAGTTTTATTGATCAGAGAACCCAGCTCAGTTCAGGAAGTATCTGAATATCTTACATTTCTCAAAATCAGTCTGGAAACCTTCCGAGGGATACATCTGTTCCTTTAATTTGCTGCTAAGAAAAAATTTGTGCAGAAAATCAAAGCTGGAAGAAACTCTAAGCATCCTAAATCTCRATGCTGGCACAGTAGAAAATGTGCATATAAAACAACTGGAAAAACTCTAATGTTAATTTTACTCTTAAAGTGAAGCTGTAACTGCTGACAGCATGGAGGGTACCAGTCTGTTACAAAGATGGGACCTTGCTTCACACTGTGTTTATCTAAGCAAAAATTGATCACTGCATCTTGTGCTGGGTTTATGCAGGAACAGTGCTAGAGTGACCTTGTTAACTCCAGTTTGAAGAGGACGGATACTGGAACTGCTMAACACTCTTGCTATGGTCTTCCAAGCATATTAGCTCGTGTTTAGCTCTTTATTGTCTTTTCTATTCTGCTTTTATTATGAATTCAGAACTTGCTGACATGATCCTGCGCTATTACCACCCACCTCATTTTCCAGATGCACTTAATGGTGGGAGCAGCCTGGGTGGCTTGGTGCCTACCTGTGACTGATGAAGTAAGCTGTAAAGCAGCTAACTTGAGCATTAAGGCAAGGCAGGCTGTGGTGTTGACTGCAAAATTTCCCCAACAGGCAGAGGAAATAATCCAGTGAATCTGCTCCTATTTTTACTGGCCCCCTGTCAAACTGTCAGTGGAATTTGTGCTAGTTACCAGGTGAGTAGGGAGTTAATGCTAGGATTGTGACCAGAAATGTATGTGCCCTGGGATCTTACATGGTCTTTCCTTGCAAAAAATAGTTTAAGAAAAGCTACTGAAATTCTGTCTATTCTTTTTTCTTGCCTTTTCTGTGTCTCAGAGTCCTCACAATTCATTTCTTGTCCCCATTTCCTGTACAAGCTTGCTGCCACTCGCTTGTAAATCAGCCAGACTCCAACACTGATTTTCTCAGGCTCTCTTTGCAGCCTAACTTAYCAGGTGCAGCTTTAAGAGCAGTGTACTTTCCTTGAGCTGGAAATATAGGAAATAGACACTGTAGATAACTTTGGAGGTTAGTGACATAAAACCAGGATTATTGTGGATAAATCCTGGAATCTCACTGTTWATTATGTGCTCCTGACTGCCTAGTACTGAGGGAATTAAATTCTTCCCATTTGACTTGTTTCTGTAGCATTGAGTTTAAGATATTCTATACAGATATTGGTAATGGTTTAATGTTTTAATTTATTTAAAATAGCCTCAATTTTCTCTATATTTTTCTTTCCACATGAGGAAGAGGAATACCTTAAAATCAGTTGAAGCTCAAACAGATGAGGCGGTTGAGTTATAACAGTGGCTTTCTATAAGATGAACATAGCTAAATTTCCATGTACTGTTCATCCTKTTGTTAAATGACCTAGTCTATGCCTCAGGATTACAAGGGACAAAACTAGCAAAAAGTCTGGTTCAATTACCATTGCTTGCAAATCTAGTTGGATATGTAGCCAGCAGATAAAAACATAGTTTTTATTACAGTTTTTGATAATGAACTGATGATCTAGTCTGGACTTTATGCACGTTCATACTTTTCACTCTTTATACTATTTTCATTACCCAGTATTATTTGTAAACATTTACTCTTGTGGAATTTAAAGCAATCTTGCTGACAAATTACTCTATCTTTTTCCTGCAAACCAAGTTTTTGTAGTAAAATCTAACTTTTTGAAGTAGAATTCCTATTTCATTACCTAATCATGTGTGCAGTGGAAGTGAGTTGCTTAGCAAGTCCAGTGCCCTGACTGGTTACAAACCTGCAACTTCGTTTCTGAACGTTAAAGCTGATCTAGAAGTTTTCCATTGTGGTAACCTCAACCTGGTTAGTTCTGTTTGGCAGAAGAGATCCATTACACTTTGCCCTTCCATGGATATTTTGGAACTATAGTCAGATGAGTCAGGAAAAAAAAAACTTGTGTGTCTATACCAGACCGTGAGAGTGGACCAAGCATTTCTTGTCTGAGTTTAGTTCTGTACTTTCCGCAATAGCAATAACACTTACTGGAATAGTAAGGTTATTTCATCAGAAAATAACMTGCTGACTTACCGTGGAAATGAATTATGCAATATGAAATTTCTTGAGAGTGGACAGCTGAGCATTGCTCTGTTACTTAGTAACTAAACCTATGAAATTGCATTTTCCTGTGGCATAATATTTTTATGAGAATTTTAATCTGCTTTATTTTTTTCCATTTTATTTTAAGATTTATGGTTAAACGATACTTACTCTGCTCTTGGTTCTTCCTGTGCACGTACTTCCTTTGGGAGCAGTTCTTGCAGCTGTGACTGCAGCTGTTTTCTACTTTCTGCAACAAAGAGTGAGGCTGGATAAAGATGTTATTTAAATTGCTGTGTTCAGAGCACTTTTTTTATTTTCTTGACTTGAAGTGCTACTTCCATTTTCACTTTCTCACTTGAGTGAGAAGACAGCGGGTGCAAAGGTGAGAAATGGTGGAACAAGAGCTGACATCTGAAAAAAAATATTTC